AGTTGTCCCTACCCCTGATCAGCTTTTTCACACCAATTGGGGGCAGAGCCAGCTGGCCAACCTCCCACGACCCCTCCTCCCCCAAGCCGCTGACCCCCCGATTGGCCCCCCCACCCCATTAGGGATTGGAGCCAACTGGCCCACTGCCCACAGCCCCTCCCCATGGCCGGCCCCACCCCCAATCGGGCGGGGCCTGCTGGCCAACCTCCCACCATCTCCTGCTCCTGATAGACCTGGCCCCGATATGCCCCAATCAGGGCCGGGCTGGCTGAACCCCACCCATGCATAAATTTGTACACTGTGCCTCTAGTTTGATATAATTTACCAGTTAAGCCATTTGGTTCTGGATTTTTCTTTGTTGGAAACTTTTTGATTGCTACTTCAGTCTCTTCACGGGTTATAGGTTTGTTCAGTTTTTCTTAATAATTTAGTCTTGGTAGGTTTTATGATTCTAGGGATTTATCCATATTTTCTGTTATCTAATTGACTGGCATATAATTGTTTATAGAAGTCTCTTTTTTAAAAAAAAATTGATTTCAGAGAGGAAGAGAGAAGGATAAATAGAGATATCAAGGATGAGAGAGAATCACTGATTGGTTGCTTTTTGCATGCCCTCTACTGAGGATCAAGCCCACAACCTGGGCACTTGCCCTGACCTAGAATTGACCAGTGACCTACTGGATGATAGGTCAATGCTCAACCACTGAGCCACGCAGGCTGGGCCATAGAAATCTCTTATATTCCTTATTTTTGTGACACCCGTTGTGATGTCTCTTTCATTTATAATTTTAACTATGAGTCTTTTTCTTAGTTATTCTACCTAATGGTTTGTCAATATTGCTGATCTTTTCAGTAAATCAACTTTTAGTTTCATTGATTTTTTAATTTTTGGCAATTCATATATTTCCATTTCTTTAGGTTTGGTTTCTGGAGTTTTAATTTGTTCATTAAATGAGTCATGTTTCCTCTATTATGTATCTCATTTTTTTTCTTGTTAGAATTTTGGCATTTGAAGACTCATTCATCTCTTTGAGACTTTGCAGTCTGATTTCAAACATGTAGAACTTTTTTGACTCATCATAGGTAGAGATTTGGAGACTTCCCAAGTCTTTTCTGGGTATGCATATCCTCTTTGGGCATGTGGGTGTAGTTACCTGTCTTAAGAAATTCAGGAGCTTGCTCTGGTGTCTGTTATGATATTACAGTCTCTCTTGTGTGGCACTGGAGTTCTACCTAGTGTGTCTATGGTACTACAAATTCTATTGCATGGTTGATCAGCTGTCTTTATTCTCAGGGATCCCCAACCTTGGATCCCATTCTTGTCAATACTTGCATATAGCAAGACAGACACCATTCTTTTGGTCAGCCCCTGTAAACTTCTGACCTTGGACATACATTCTCTACTTTGTTGTCCTCAGGTAGAAAACAGTCCCAAATGTGCCATGGCAGGGGAAAGGGCCTCTAGTGTAAGGAGTGGACAATGTCATGAATTTTCTTACTGTGCTTTTATGCTGTTGGTTTCGTCCTTGCCTGGAGTGCAGGAACCTTTTAACTGCTTTTTAAATTTCTCACAGAGGTATTTGATCTGTTTGTTATTGTTAAGTCTATTGAGATAGACTTGAGTGTCCATTTCTGCCATCTTGCTGACATTACTTCTCTACTTCAGTTTTTTTAAAATTTTAATTGAACTTATTAGGGTAACATTGATTAATAAAATTACATAGGTTTTAGGTATATAATTCTATAATACATCATCTGTATATTGTATTTTGTGTTTACCATCCCAGGTCAAGTCCTCTTCCATTACCATTTATTCTCCCCTTTCCCTTTTTTAACTACCCCTTTTCCTCTGGTAATCACTGTATTGTCTGACTCTGTGAGCTTTTCTTTTTTCTTACTCCTTTCACCTTTTTTACTCAGCCTCTCAACCTGACTCCCCTCTGAAACCCATCAGTTTATTCTCTGTATCTATAAGTCTGTTTCTATTTTGTTCATTAGTTCATTTTCTTCATTAGATTCCATGCTTTCTCTGACTGGCTTATTTCACTTAGCATAATGCTCTCCAGGTCTCTCCAAGTGTCACAAAGGTATGTTTTCTCTCTCTCTCTCTCTCTCTCTCTCTCTCTCTCTTTCTCTCTCTCTTTTTCTTAACAGCTGAGCAGTATTCCATATGTAAATGTGCCACAGCTTTAATATATATAATTTTAGAGAAGTAGGGGTAGGGAGATAGAAACATCAATGATGAGAATCATTGGTCAGCTGTCTTCTGCATGCCCCCCACTGGGGATTGAGCCCACAATCCGGACATATGCCCTGACTGGGAATCTAACCTTGATCATGTGTCGATGCTCAAACCACACCAGACAGGCATAGTACAGGTTTTTGATCCATTCATCTATTGATAAGCACTTGGGTTGCTTACAAATCTTGGCTGTTGTGAATAATGCTGTAGTGAACATAGGGTTGTCCAGAAGAGGTATCATTGGGTCATAAGGCAGTTCAATTTTTAATTTGTTGAGGTAACTCCATACTGCTTTCCACAGTGGTTGCACCAATCTGCATTCCCATCAACAGTGCACAAGGGTTCCCTTTTCTCCACAGCACTTGTCATTTGTTGATTTGTTGATGGTAGACATTCTGACAAATGTGAGGTGATACCTCATTGTTGTTTTAATTTGCATCTCTCTGATGATCAATGACTTTGAACATTTTTTCATCTCTCTCTTGGCCATCTGTATGCCCACTTTGGAGAAGTGTCTGTTTAGATCCTTTGCCCATTTTTTTTTATTGGATCGTCTTCCTTTTGCTTATCTGTATGAGTTCTTTATATATTTTGGATAATTGGATTGGTGCTTTTTTTGGTGTTGAGCTTTTAGTTTGTTTTTATATATTTTTAAAATTGATTTCAAGAGAAGAAGGGAAAGACAAATGGAAACATCAATGATGAGAGGAGTAATTGATTGGCTGCCTCCAGCATGCCCCATACTGGGAGCCCATAACCAGGAATGTGCCCTGACCAGGAATTGAACCACAATCTCCTGGTTCATAGGTCGAAGTTCAACCACTGAGCCATGCCAGCTGGGCTACTGTTGAGTTTTATAAGTTCTTTATAAATTTTGGATATTAAACCCTTATTAGATGTATCATTGATTAATATATTCTCCAATTCAGTGGAATGTCTTTCATTTTGTTCATGGTTTCCTTTGCTGTGCAAAAACTTTATAGTGTGATGTAGTCCCATATGCTTATTTCTTCTTTTGTTTCTCTTGTCCAAAGAGATATATTAGAAAAAATATAGCAATGATAAATGTCCAAGATTTAATTGCCTATGTTTTCTTCTGGGAGTTACATGGTTTTGAGTTTAACATTTAAGTTTTCAATACATTTTTAGTTTATTCTTGTGTATGGTGTAAGAAGGTGGTCTGGTTTCACTTTTTGTACAAATCTATCCAGTTTTCTCAACACCATATATTGAGTAAACCATCTTTACCGCATTGTATGTTTTTGTCTCTTTTGTCAAATAGTAATTGACCATAAAGGCATGGGTTTATTTCTGGGCTCTCTATTCTGTTCCAATGACCTATATATGTCTGTTTTTATGCCAGCACCATGCTGTTTTGATTACTATGGCCTTGCAATAGTTTGATACTAGGTAGCGTGATTCCTCCAACTTTGTTCTTCTCAAGATGGCTATTGCTATTTAGGATCTTTTGTAGTTCCATATAAATGTTTAAAATATTTCTTCTAGTTCTGTGAAATATGCCATTGATATCTTGATAGGAATTGTGTTGAATCTATAGATTGCTTCAGTCAGTATGGAAATTTTAATGTTAACTTTTTCTATCCATGAACATGGCATATGTGTCCACTTACTAGTATTTGTATATTCTTCAGTTTCTTCAGTGTCTTATAATTTTCCGAATACAGATCTTTTATGTCCTTGGTTAAATTTATTACTAGGTTTGTTTGTTTTTTTCATTTAATTGTTAGTTTCCCTCCTTAGTAGATTATTATTGGTGTATAAAAATGCAACTGATTTCTGGATATTTATTTTGTATCCTGCTACTTAAACTGAATTTATCAGTCCTAATAATTTTTTGGTAGAATCTTTTTTTTTTTTTTTTTATTGCACATCACTCCTTTATTATACTGATCTGTAAAAGACTTAGCAGTTATGCTCAAAATGGGCCCACGTGGCAGGGCCAAGCAACTGGAACATGATTCAGAGCTCACACAGTAAAAGACACACCTGGACATGATCAAGAGACATTTCACTGCCAAGAGACAATAATGCCAATGCTGGGGAGGGATTCTAAAACACAGCAGGATGACTCCTACAAGTCAAGGAGCTCATCCCACCTTGGTGTGAGGACTGGCTTTTTTTTTGA